TTATGCTACATAGATAGTAAAAATGTTGAACTTTATGCCTCTTTTTTAAGTACCTATTGCAATATTTTGATTAGTTTAGCTGCTACAACATTTCTACAAAATGTGGTAAGACTGTCCTGATTTACCCCACCTGTCCATTATTATTCCATTTGATGGTAGCACTTTTTTGCACTAAAAAAATGCACTAAAAATGGTTAATTTGCCACTTTGGTTTGTAGTCTAGGTATAAAACTCTTAAAATATGGTGCAATGCATTGCTAATTGGTAAATGCAATCTTCTTGCATTTAGCATTTGTATGATCTTTAGATAGATGACTCATGAGTAATGACAGTGACATTTTGCCATATTATATTTTGTTTCAACATTCGGTTTCATCACATTCATATAAACAGTCAGGGAATTTATCTAGCTTTTGAGCCATGAATACCAGCAGGCATGGAATATAACTACTTGGTGAGCCTCGACTGGATTTTTTGAACCGTGGTTTTATGGATTTGCCAGCCGTGATTCCATTTCTTTGAGCTGTAAATTCCATATCTCGGCCATGAAGAGCCATTTACAGGCGGCAAACTTATTTACATAGTCTTGTGCACATGTTACCCCAAATCTCTTTTACCCTAAAAACAGTCAAACAGCAACTATAACATTTGTCTTTACTTTAGTGGCAACTGAACACATGATAATGCAGTCTGACCACTCTGACGTGACCACAACAATGCGATCTCCAACAAAACATTTTTGGTTGACTCATTATCAAGTTCTGCAAGATTTTTTGGTGGGAATGTTTAAGTACTGCTGATTGCAGAAGTTGAAAATTTTATGAAACAAACATGTTTGTGATGTGCAAACCACAATTTTTTCAATAAAACAAAAATACATGACATTAGAGCTGCAAGATTTCATACCTACTGAAATTATATGATATTAGAGCCATGGTATTTCAGATAAAAGTAGGACTTTTCCCAACTTGACTACCAGTAGAGCTTTCCTGCTTTTTAGAGCAGTGAAATTTTAGCTATATGAATTACCTCTTATATAATTGTTAATACAAGTGCATGATCAGGCTGTGAGATTCCAAATGTAGTGAAAATTTGTCACTTTCAAGCCTTGAGATTTTATTATTAAGTCAGAAAATTTCAATTCTGCCTATATATATGTGACAAACCTAGTTTGGATAGAGGCCTTTTTTAAATTTATCATTACTGCTTCATAGCAAAACTTGTAATAATTTTTGTGAATTAATTCAACAATCAAATTTATATTTTTAGGTTGCAGCTCAAATATTAGCTTGAATACATGATTGATCGAAAATTTTAACTGCAACTTTTCAAAATTATTATTGAAAGTTTTGCGATAAGTTATCTTGAAATATTGTGATGCAATGCTGCTTGTCTATGGGCAACCTAAGTCTGATGTCACGGTCACCAGACCTAAGCCACTTAGTCCATTGGCAGCCTAAGCCACTTCGTCCATTGGCAGCCTAAGCCACTTGGTCCATTGGCAGCCTAAGCCACTTGGTCCATTGGCAGCCTAAGGCACTTGGTCCATTGGCAGCCTAAGCCGCTTGGTCCATTGGTAGCCTAAACCACTTGGTCCATTGGTAGCCTAAACCACTTGGTCCATTGGCAGCCTAAGCCACTTGGTCCATTGGCAGCCTAAGGCACTTGGTCCACTGTGCATGTCACCAGACTGGTGACATGCATGATGGGCCAAGTTTGATGTGAAGACATGATAAAAATTTCCTGTGGCATTTCTTAATTAATGTGTCCATGAAATTGGACTAGAGCCGTGTACCAAAGATATAAGGGGCATGTATGTTAGGTAAAATGAGCCTAAGCACTTTTCTTGGCTTCTCAATATTCTTACTTATATGCAATGCAGAACGATTGTAGTAAAGTTTCTGAAGGTCATCAAAGTAGTTGTCAGTTTAGTCACATCTCAGTTTAGTTACAGATAGATGTGCTAGTATGAATTAATTTTCAAAATTCTGGTTTGAAAAACATTGATAATTTACTCATCCCTGTAGGCTTATATCCTTTGACAGTAAATCCTATTTAATCTATCTGTTTTCTCCAAAATCAAATGTTTATTATTCTTCAAATATTGGAGCAAACTGATTTGTGTGAATCAGAATAATGTGCATAATAATTCTCTTTACAGATTGAAGCATTTATCAATATACCGTAGTTTTTAAATTTAAGGCCAAAATGTAGATAACATTTGGTTTAAACCAATTCAAATAATAAGAAAATGGCCTCAATAATAGATTAGCTTCATTATCTTGTGGCGTTTTGAAGAGATGACAATTTACCTTTGAAAATATTTTACAAGCTTCCAGACAATTTGGTAAGTTTCACAAATTGTTCATTATTTTAATCCTACCTATATGTTGAAATTATAATTTGCCTCTGGCCTTTACTCATGAAGCATGGGTATGCCAAAGGCCCGCTGGGCCAAAGGACGAATGGGTGGTGACAGTACGGGGTGCGATTGGAATAGAGTGGGATAATAAAGAGTGGAAAAGAGAAATAAATAAGCGCTTGAAAGACTGTGGGATGAAGGTATGGAAGCAAGGAATGGAGGGAAAGGGCACTCTTTAGGACTGTATCAAATGAAAGCGATGCCAAAATATGAATGTGTGTATGATGGTAGTAGAGGTGGGGATCTTCTGTTTTGTGTTAGGGCAGGCGCGCTAGGTGTGAATGGACGTACATACAGGTGGAATGAAAGGAGGGAAGATAAATGTTTTATGTGTGACGGGAGGAGAAAGAAACTATGGAGCACTTGGTGATGGAATGTGGGGCGTATTCGAGAGAGCGTCAGTCCATGATAGAGATAATTCTTAGTGAGGGAGGAGAGATTAACGAAGTGGGGCATGAGAGAACAAGCGAAGAGTGGATGGCAATAATTACGGGTCTGTCTGAGGGAGCAACTGCGGCTATGTTTGAGAGTGTGAAGAGATATTTGGAAAACGTGTGGAGGATGAGGGAGAGGAGGAGGATGATAAGAGTGCGGGCTTGAGGAATGGAGGGATGAGAGAGGTGAGGGTGGGAAGACAAATGTGACCGTGCCGAATTGTTTTAGTACGTTGTTTTATTTTTTAGGTTGTTGCAAAACGAAACGAAATCGTTAAGTTTTTTTTCTTATGACTGCTGTGAATACGGTTTTATTAAACTTTTTCGTTATGACACGAGTGTGAACTTTTAATTTTTGATGCTAGTAAAAGTTTTTAGGCAGTGTGTATGACCGATATAATGGTCGTGACCGGAGGTCACCACGCATTTAAATTTAAATTCTTCGGTCTACATATGAAGGGTCTATTTTTCAGTGAATGTGCGGCAGGGATAATTTAATCTGTTCCTACCTATACATTTAATTGAGTTTTTCTTACATGTACGTATTATTTCGTCTGTTCCTGCATATATATTATATATACCTATATTCGAGTTTGTTTCAATGGTGGAATAGTAATTCTGCGTTTACAAGTATTAGTATGCATCAAGGAAACGGTGTTTGCAACTGTGAACTTTCTTCGTCTTTGAGATTATTATTTCTTGACCTAAGCTTAGCTTAGAGAAAATTACACAAATTTCTTTATCTCGGACATAGATTTTGGCCTTAACCTTGGTACTTTTTTGCTATTTCTATTGAACTATCTCGAAGATTTAATGAACTATTTTAATATTTCTAATGAAAGATTTAATATTTTTAACACGTTTAGACGTTCAAGGTTCAAAATTCAAACCTGATGGCCACGAACCAAGCACACCTTGTGAGCCACGCGCACGTCTGCATTGCTTCACCTCAAAAATGCTCTTAATAAGATGAAAATTTGGCGCTCATTTTTAAAAGTTTTCAAGCATATCACAGCTGTGGAATGTGTAGAGTGTCTGTCTGATCTTGATTTTTTGGATGTTAAAGCAAGCCTGTTAATTCCTCAGTTGCATCAATAACATTTACAATACAAACAGATCTTTTTCACGTAATCGTATTTTATCTTTAATTCGAATGAATAATTTTCCTCAAAAGCCTGGAGATTTATTCAAAGATCTCAATTACTATTGTTAGATGACCGTTTCATTAAAATGATATCCAAATTGATCAGTAATTTGCCCAGATATTACGTGCTAATTGAAAAAAATATAACTCAGTACTCACAGCAGTGAGTGACAGAGCTAAGCGCATTTTCTCGTCGACGAAAACTTGAGGTCACGGACGGACGGACAGACGGACAGACAGACGGACATGGCGAGCACAATAGTGCATTTTTTCCATTAATGAGAAAATGCGCTAAAAATGATAAAAAATTGTATGCTAAAGGATCACTGTCATCTGGACAGACATGATCTCGTGACAAGACCAAAAATTGATTTGGAGACGAGGTCAAAGATCGTTTGGCTTTCTCAGCCGCGCGCTTGCCGCTCAGTGTCGTCTGGAACTTCTCCGCGTGTGGTGTGCTAGCTCCTTGCTCTTCCCTTACTCGCCATGTGCAGGAGAAAAGAATTATTAATCCTTTGTACGAGTGTAATTAGACTTGACTGTTAGTTAAGAGGACGTTCATAAATCGGGCGCAGAATTTCTCCCGTCTCAATAGAGAAACGTTATTTTTCATTGCGTTGTTCTAAAAATGTACTGTGCATGATATTTCATAGACATCATTATGAAGTCTTATGTCCTGATTTGTTTTCACCATATTTATTTAGCTAAATGTTGAGCTATTTCACAGACAACGTATGAAATTAGCTGTTCAGTTATTCCATGGATATTGTTGAAAATGCAACTTGTGCAAGTCCTCTTCATTGGTGTTGTCTAAAATTGAACACAACGAAAATTGATCAGGAATGGTCTTTAAGCGAACATTTTATACATTTCATGGACATCGTTAACAGCCTTAATGTTTAGTTATGCAAGGCGTTTTTTAAAATTAAACTTTACAGTTTTTTATGTAATATTTTTAAAACTTTGAAAATATTAGGTTCAACTATATATCACTGTAAAGTGAACTGTTCTTTCAAAATCAAGAGAACATCTTGTCCAGAAAATTGAGTTTAAACAAGTCCTACTACGAGGGTATCACGGTCTTGGTTTACTCCAGCAAAAACGGCTTTAGTAAACAGCACTACACACCGCTAGCGATACTAAATCGCGTTTGCAAGATAACATCACATACGCTCTGCCATTCATTAAATTTTATAATGGAAGGTGAGATCAACCATTCAGCAGTTTATTATTCTCTAGCGTTTGTAATGAAAGAATTCTCGTTTGCCATGTTGTTCAATTTTTTCGTTTCTGAATAAATGATATGGGAATTGAACGTGATGAGTTCCGAGTTGTTGAAACAAATGAGGCAACTAGATTGGTAATGAATGGTTTTATCAACAGCCTATTAAATAACCGTTGCAGTCGATAAATGTAAGTAGGTAAACCCGTAAAAAGTAACTCGTTATCTTCAAAGCTTATCGAGGTGATCATTTGACGTCATCTTTGATGCCTATTTCTGGAGTCGTGGCGTTCCTGTTTAAATAGTAAACAAGGGTCTTGAAATCCCCTTGTAATTGGCATGCAACATTCGGCTGCTCATCTTTTGTTACTTTAAGTTTTGATCCTTGCATGGTAAAAATTTTCCTGTTTTTAAAATAGTTAAGTGTGCTACCAAAATGTAGATTCTATGCCCGAGACGAGTGTAGTTCTCCTATCAAACCTATGATTCACCACCATATTTAGTGCGTTTTTCATAGTTCTTTATTTGTTTGGTCGGAAGTCGATCACTAAGTCCTTCATGTATGAAGCACCTTACCTCATTTACGAGTATAATTTTCAATAAAGATACGGAGAGCCGTAAGTAAATGTGCAATTTGAAGTTTATTGCAGCGCCACTGGTGTGTTCATCATAGTTGCTGCGTCGGCCTTTCTATAAGGAATTGCGTCAGGTTCACGCGCGCCGTATGGCCGCAGTTTGCCATCACTTTCTACCTGCGCTCGAGTGTCTGACAGGCGCAAATTTGTCGTTCATGTTACTGGAGCGTCTGCCTCATGCATGGCGTCGTCTGCATCGACGTTGTCGTAAAATTTACGAGCAAATTTTAGTGGTGCGTTTAATGAAGAGTTTGTAGGTGATGGAACAGTGTTACAATGAATTCAGGACGTAGAGTCGTAGAATATGGAATTATCAGCCGTGGTTGGTGATGATGAATTGCGTTTAAGGTTTCAGAGATCTATCCGAAAATCGCCGATATTTTTGGGTAGATTTTTAATTCTTCTACATTTATTTGTAAGCAAGCAACAAGTTATTGCCGGGCGACACTTTATTGCGACCGAGACTTGGAATAACACAAAATATGCGACTTTTCTGTACGTCAGGATTGCATGCTTGTACTCGACGAATTGGTTTCACTTTCCCTCTCCGTCATTGGCCGCAGGCGCCGTTCTCATGTTTTATGTTGCAGTGGAAGAACTGAAAGTGTTATACATGCGATTCCGGATCTACTCGTTCAATACGTTATGGATCCGTAACGAAAAGTTAGCTTGGTTGACGCTTATACTCATTACGTTATGGATTCATTCAACGTTCCATTCCCCCGGTCAGAAGTTAATCATTAAATTGTTCTAAAGTTAATAGTAGAAATCCACTACTCTGTTTTGTGATGTGAATTGTGCAATGCAACAACGACGGCTGATCAGGTGCATTGATCACGTTAACATTTTTGCGAATATTTATCTCCTGCGAGATACTTAGCTTCTCTTGGACATTTCCTGGATGAGTATACAGTAATAAAGGGATATACGCATGTCTTTATTTGCAACGACATTGACCATGCCTACTAAATAAACGTCGGTCATGACTGGAGCATTCCACCCCGACCATTGTCGCTTACATTGCACCATGCATGGCAATGGATGACTTCATCGCCCGCGTGGATGACTTCATCGCCCGCGTGGATGACTTCATCGCCCGCGTGGCTGACTTCATCGCCCGCGTGGCTGACTTCATTGCCTGCGTGGGTGACTTCATCGCCCGCGTGGGTGACTTCATCGCCCGCGTGGGTGACTTCATCGCCCGCGTGGATGACTTCATCGCCCGTACATGAATCTAGGGAGCGCGATTCCTGATGCGCTGAAAATGTATACATGGATTATTAATGAATTTAAATGTAGGATTATTCACGGAAAATTAAATAAACTTGTTCTGGAAAAAATTGCGAATTAAACTCTGTAAATCAAGCGGTGAAACAAGTTAAAATCTATGCTGCAGACGCATTTAACACGTGCATCATTTAATGCAAAGTCAGGGAATTTATTCAAGCATTTTCCACACCTCGCTCATCTCTTGACATCGTCTGAGTCAATAACCTGGCCCCGCCGACAAAGAAAGAATTTTTCCTGTCATAGAAAAGTGACTTTGCGGAGACAGTTTAACATGAGTGAACGGTCATTGTTTGACCAGACAAACACAGGAGGCTTGAGATTGCCTAGACAAAGCAGTTACTGATGAATGCAATGAGCATTGCTTTGCTTCTTTAAGCAGTATAAAGACCTAAGATCAAGTTCACTTTTCTACATATATATTAATGCCTGTATTTTTTATATGTAATGCCTGTTTTTCGCACGGTCGACTTATTTACCTTATTGCGCTCATCTTCTGTGTATTGAAATCCCTAAAGGCGACTGCGACAGTGACTCGAAGCAAATGAAAAAATTCTCTCGTTGATGAAATTAATGAAAAATATTGTCAGCGTAATATCATCGTGTGTCGTGGATACGCTAGCAGCTTGTTGGCTTATACCACAATGGGTGCAAAACATAAAGTAGGGTCGGGGTGAGGGATCAGCATGAGACAGGGTCGTGTAGGGTTGGGGGTGAGGGATCAGCATAAGACAGGGTCGTGTAGGGTCTGGGTGAGGGATGAGCATGAGACAGGGTCGTGTAGGGTCTAAAGATATTCACTGACGCTTAATTGGCCAGTCCGACGAAAATTTCTTAAATTACGTCCGTACAAGTAGAATTTTTTCCTAATCTGTCCAACCAATTTATGGTGTAAAATTTAATGGCATGAAAAGTTTTGAACGTTTGATTGGATCTGAAATCAAAGTTAAAATTAAATAGTGAATAGCTCGCAGGTGCTGTTTCTCGAGCTAGAGTGACGAAAGCACCCTTGGAGATCAGCCTGTTTAAGGGTGACCCTTACGCCATATATCCAGCTTTAAAGCTCCTAGCTTACGTTTCTGTCTAGTGTTATCACTGCAGACCTTTACCGTCATTCACAATCTGACGTGGGCTCAACGTATTAATATACCGCACTCAGCGTCTGGTGGATAACAGCATCTGAAATAGAACTTGAAGGTTAAATTACTGCTTTATCTGCTCTGACTTTCCTTTCAGATGGACTACTTCTTTTCGTTATATCCACGTCCACAATACCAACTTGATTATTCATACGCCGATGCACTAGTCTCTGTGGGAAATAATTCTAGCAATTAAGAATTTAAAATCAAAGAAAAGTCCACAAAAATTCATATCTTTATAGAAAACGTTTCGGAGACCAGCTCCATCGTTTTTGGTCTCCGAAACGTTTTCTATAAAGATAGGAATTTTTGTGGACTTTTCTTTGCTTTTAAATTCTTAGTTAATTTGCGATTTAAGCAAACAAGTGATAATAATTCTAGCAATATTCAGCATAGCAGGTCACCCCAGCGAGGCTCGGATCCGATAATCCATGAGCTGCCTCGATATTCCCAAAGCCTTCTGCATGGCAATCTGGATTTTCAAAAGGAATTTAAATTTTTTAGCTCCTGATGCAGCACCCGTATTTCTTTTAGAAAAACGGAACTTTTCTGCAATATTAAAATCTTGATTAACTTATCAACATAGCGAAATGCTAGGTATTGGGAACAGGCGCTCAATAAATCATATATATAATTATTATTCAAGCTATCTACGTTATCTACGTCAAGGCTGATGTGACCACTACCCGGCAAAGAATAATAGTTGTCCATCATCAGAATAATTCTCAAGCTAAATTCATTGGAATTATAGCCGCTTTCGTTAAAGTTTTACGGCACCATCAAACCTCCATGCTTAAGTTTTGAGTTCAAATTTTCCAATTTTGATAAATTATTTCGATTATATTTTTAATTTTGCTTTTTGTCATGCTTCATGGTGGTTATAATATTTCAACGCTACCTTTAACTGTATTGGGACAATATCTGACTTTCAGAGAAGTCAAACATTGGAAAATAGGCTCTTTCTGATAATCCTCATACTTAGCCATATATATTATTTTGAATTTTATTAGTATTGAGTGATTGTAATTAGTAAGTGTAATGTACTTGCTTACAGTGATGAGCGGTCTGGTGACGCGTTGGTGCCGTGCGCACGGCGAGCTGTGCGCTCAGCGGCCGTGGGAGGTGATGTTCCTGCTCAGCACTGCCACGGTGGTGATCATGACCCAGCCACACGCTCACGAGCACCAGTCCTGCCACGCTGCCACCAAGGTAATAACGTGTTCCTGCTCAGCACTGCCACGGTGGTGATCATGACCCAGCCACACGCTCACGAGCACCAGTCCTGCCACGCTGCCACCAAGGTAATAACGTGGATGCCCCGCTTATTTTTATCTACATCTGGAAGCACATGGCAACCAAATTAATATTGTTGGTAATTATTGTTTGGTATCTTAGGTGATGTCATGATAACCTGTAAAATAATGAATACAAACAATGAGGCTTGGCTGGGTATGTTTTCCCGTTATTTGGACCTCGAGTATCTGAAATTGGTTGTTCCTCAAGTTAATCACGACGATCTCGCGGCCTGCCTGAACAAACGGCTCACTTGGCGCAAATGTATCAGTTCGTCGTTAATCATTTTACTTGCTGGTTAAGAAAGAGACTGTCATAAAAACTGCAATATTTTGTCGAATGCAAGCAATGTATCCAATTCCCTTACTGACGCTGCCAGCTGTTTTTATTTTATTTCTCACTCGACTTCTTTGTGTTAATATATTTCTCTTAACGTTGCCTTGACTAATTAACCTCAATATTTCAGGTGAACTTGGGTCGAGCGATATACAATGCACCAATTATGATAAAGTATTAAATTCAGGCTTGGTATGGTGCAGGCAAGTGCGGGTGGAGGAGGTGGTGCAGAGTATGAAGGAGTGCACGTGTGGGTGATGACTGCACTGCGGTGCGGAGCCATGCTCTACACATACCACCAGTTCCGCCTGCTGCACCGGCAGGGCTCTTCACACGTGTTGGGTGAGTACACGTCACGTGTTGGGTGAGTACACGTCACGTGTTGGGTGAGTACACGTCACGTGTTGGGTGAGTACACGTCACGTGCTGGGTGAGTACACGTCACGTGTTGGGTGAGTACACGTCACGTGCTGGGTGAGTACGCGTCACGTGCTGGGTGAGTGCACGTCACGTGCTGGGTGAGTACGCGTCACGTGTTGGGTGAGTACACGTCACGTGTTGGGTGAGTACACGTCACGTGTTGGGTGAGTACGCGTCACGTGTTGGGTGAGTACGCGTCACGTGTTGGGTGAGTGCCGTTAAAATCGTCCACTTGGCTCTATCATAATGTTGAACGAAATGTCCGCTCCCCTCCCAGACATTTAAAACTTGAGACCGCGATCAACTCCAAAGTTATTATCTCTGGGCCTTTCTTAGAACCTTGTGCATACGTACAGAAATTATGACCATAACTAGGGTGACTGTTCCTTATGTTATACGTACCGGAATCGTACCCATAACACGTGCGACTGTTCGTGCAGGTATCGCGGTGCTGTTCGTGCTGTTCGCCATGGTGCTGTTCAGTTGCTGCGTCGTGCAGTTGCTGGGCTGCAGCGTGTCTGACCTTGAGTGAGTACTGCTGATGTTAACGTGGCTTTCTGATGTTACATCTGCTTTTCTGATGTTGCCGTGGCTGCTGTTTCTAGTGTTTTTTTTTCTTTTTGCTTGAGTTGCAAGACGGTTCTGTTGTGCAATAAACCATTAGGCCTTTCAATAGAGAAATTTGCTTATTTAATTCACATCGGCAAAGGGTCTACCTAATTTTAATTCATCCAGTATCCCTGAGCTCTGACAAATTTTAAATCCACTACAGAGATCAAGAAATTTCGTCTGTTACCACTTTCTGTATTGGAAAGCAAAATATGATTTTGTTCATTGTCATTTGATCACACAAGCGGCATTGTTCTCTAACTTGATGCTTGCATTTGTCAGAGAAGCGGTGTTCTTTCTGCTGCTGGTGATGGACGTGAGCAAGATGAGCAGACTGTCGCTGCTGGCCCTGCAGTCGCGGGGCGCACGTGAGGCCATCCTCAGCATCGGTGAGGGCCTGGCGCTGCTGGGGCCTGGCCTCTCTCTTGACACCTGCGTTGAGGCCCTCCTTGTGGGCGCTGGGTCACTCTCAGGTGTGGGCCTCATCTATTATACCTCATGGTTTATTTGAACCCGTTACTTTTATTCTTTCAAATATCGTCGAAATTCGCTTATATGTAACGTGATGCCGGAACCCTGCTAAGACACCCATATCAGGGCGCTCCATGTTATTGCTGATTTTATTCTCAATGGAGCGTTATTATTGCTGTTATTGCTGATTTTTATATCTCAAACATTTCCTTAGTTACTTGTTTTTTATTTTGCACTTTCTTTCTGATTCTTCCAACCCTTTGCATTTAATATGTCGGGAGTACATACTTCTATTATACGGGCACATTACCTTTACTAATTACCGTTCATACTGCCGCTTTAAACATACAAATTTTTGTTCTGTTTATGAATGTATCTGCAACGGTAGGGAATATTTGAATTTAAATTTGTCAATTGATCTAAAAGGGAAGAGTGAAATCGAGAAGGACAACTTAATTTCGATAATAAAACAGAGAAATCGCCTGATTGTTTGAAGTAGCTTTGAAATTCGATGGTTTTATGTAGGGATGTAGCTGTCAAGTGTTGAATTACATAAATGAAAATTCTTATTATAAGGTGGATGGATAATCTCGCTGTACTTGACAGTTCACTGACAATTACATAGATCATTCTTTATGTGACTTCGTAATTTATTTAAAGTTTTGGGCAATCAATGAAAATTTTCCAGGAATTGGTCGTCTGGAGCAGATCTGCCAGTTTGCTGTCCTCTCGATCCTGGTGAACTACGGACTGCTCATGACCTTCTTCCCAGCCTGCTTGTCCCTCGTGCTACAGGTATGCACCTTCCTTAATAATATTTATGTTTGAGAACAATTATGAATTATCCGATTTCGTGACGTAGAAGAAGGTTAAGCAAAAGTCGAGCGAGTTTCCCAGATCGATCGAGTCCGCGGCAGCATTATGGCCAATGCCCAGGCCTGCTTTACTCTTCGCGTCTGGAAGCTTTGAAATTGTTAGGACTTTTTTCGAAACTTATCTGTTCATACAGGAACTTCATGCCTATGTGATTTCATTTCAATTCAAGATTTTAACGATGAAACTTTTTACTCGAGTTTTGAGACAGTATCTGAGGGAATTCGCATTTGAGGTCATCGATGTATTGAAACTTTTTATACGTTTATTGTTTTTGCAACACCATTCCTTGATACATTTATTGTTTTTTCAACACCATTCCTCGATGCTCATTTTATTGCTCATTCCTCATAATTCCTTGGGTCGAGTTTCATTGTTGGTTTAATACCACACCTTGAACAGTGTTAGTTTTAAGTTTTGATATCTTTTTTCTGATGTTTGTATCTCATTCCTCGACAATGTTTGCATTGCTCTTGTACAATATATCGTAATTCCACGACGCGGATTTCATGACCGTTTTTAGTAATTACTCGGCTGTACACGCTCTTGTTCTTCAACAGATGAGTAGCCGACGGGAGATTTGTGACGATCACAATTCGGACTCCGGACAGCCGAAAAGCGAGTCGCTCAAAGTGGCTTCAACTGACATCACAGATACTCTGGTACCTGATGCCTTGCCGAGGGCTTCTTCTGGTATTCATCCTAGTGCCTCCCAGGATGGGTCTAGGGCCTCCCAGGGCCTCCCCTCTAGTGCCCCTCAGGAAAGGTCAAGCGCCCTCCCTGTTGCTGGTGCCTCTTCAAAGCCGGTTTGGCAGGTCGGCTACTGCATGCATTGCGCCGCTGCCCTCGTGGCGGACGAAGCCTGCACCCATAACCCTGTTCTTCAACGCGTTAAGGTTTGTTAATGGAGGTTCTTGTTTAAGCTGGATATTTTTTTAATTGATTTCTATTTGTTGGATTTCCATGAGAACGAAGTCAACGTTTATATTTTGAATCTTCTTGATAATCCTGTGATATTTTTTTTAATCATTGTGAAAGTGTTAGAGGACCAAGCTCTGATCAGCTTTGTTTTACTATTCTTGACGATCTTTTGATTCACCCTTTAAAACCCCTTGAATTTTAATGTATACTATTTGTATGAAAATAATAGCTCAAAAAATTAAAAAGTAAAATTCGACCCATTCGTTTAAACCTAAGAGGAAGCTTCAACAATACAAGTACTATGGAGGAGAAATACTGGGAAATAATATTTTTGGTTATCTACATGCACAGTATCATACCAATTTTCATGCATTTCCCCAAGCTTTCTCAACGGCCATAAGTCATCTCAACTCTAAAAACCGCGATCTATCGAACCCTATAAAGATAAACCGTGAAGTAGTGAGCTAATAATGTAAGCTCGGGATGTTTTGTTCACACAGGTTATTATGTCAGCTGGTCTGGTATTGGTGCACGGAATCAGCCGGTTCTCAGTGGTGCTGCCTTCTTCAGAGCCCGCCCTTCTCCATACTCACAACCTCTCTGACACATCACACACCCAGCACCCCGCAGTGAGGTGAGCTCCGTTCATTATCGATCAACTGTCATTGAGGCAAGTATTATTTTTTGTGCGGGTCGATCTTTAAGAGCAGTTAATAGAACCATTGTCCCGGCCTGCCGGCCACTGTTAACCTTATCTTGGAGATGGGAATCGCTGTCCGAAGCTCAATAGCTTTCATTCCGAAGCTTTCATTCTTACTCAATGTGTATTGTTCGCCCAGTCTGCTATTCAGCAAGTTTATTTCGGGATCCACGTTTATATATCAAAGCCTTGAGCAGCGCGTTGATTTACTCTGTAAGCGCAGATCTCTCAACAAGTGCACACTCCTTCAAAGATGCTGTCGTGTTGAACAAGTTTTTTATGTTGGTGAACATTTTTTTGGTCGTCTGGATCAAACTAGCTCCCTATTAGCACATTTACTAAGGTACATAAATCTTCTTGTCATTGTTTTTAAAGGTACACTTGCCTGTAATTGATATATTTGTACTTTATTTTGTCTCTAAACTTTTCTGGATTCTTATTATGAAAACTGGATTTCAAAACTTCCTAAAACCAAGACCATTTTGCATTTTGAGGCTGATATAATAAAATTATCGACTTTGCCAGGTTGCTGGCGGAGGGGCTGGAGCAGTGTGTGGTGGTGGTGTTGGTTGTGGTGCTGCTCATCAAGTACGCCATGTTCGAGGGACGTGGTGAGCTGGAGCAACAAATACTTAAACAACGCCACCTCCAGCAATCCTGTGACCGATGTTCTGCTCCACCCACCGGCGATAGTGCAGGTGACGAATAAGCCTTCACACAACCCTTAGTGTTACTCATGCTACTCCGTCTGCTAATCACTGAAGGTTTTTCAAACTCAACCCACCAATCGCAGGCGAGAAACCGGCCGCTACTACGTGTACTTAGGCCGCTACGTTTATTTAACCGCTGCATGTACTGTGGCCGCCACGTGTACTTAGCCAGCCACGTGTACTTGGACCATACGAAGAATGACTAGAATATTGGATTTTACGTCAAATTTTATTTCTTTACCAAAGCTCTTCAGCTTAACTACCTATGAAATGTGCAGTGGCCAAGTTTTTATTTCACAACTTCTCCCTAAATTCTCTAGTTCTTATTTTTGAATGTTTTATTTTGGGTTATTGGTGAAATTGTGACCATGTGCAAACTGGAATTACTATTATCCTTGATGTTAAGTTAGTAGACCATTTATTCAGTAACATTTTATTCAGAAGAAAAAGTGAACGGAGCCGATCGCGCTGCACAGAACAGCTCGGCGGCTGAGGATGTCCAGGAAGCCTCTGCCTGCTACAGAGACTGCAGTTCTCAGACAGAGACTGGAGATCTGCAAGACGTATGGAAGATCCTAGAAGTTCCAGTTTGCAGCTCTCAAGATTCTGACTTGAATAAAGCCAACGAAACTGCCGCTAACGCGTCGATGACTGAGAAACTGGCAGGAAAACCGAAAAGAAATACCATAAGATCGTTTGAAGAATGTGTCGCAATTCTCAATGATCCTAAGGTGCGGTTAGCTCATCCTCATTTCCATCTCATGAGAATTAGTTAACTAAAATTTAACTAATTTAATTTTTAATTAAATTAGTTACATTTTAAATTTGATTTAATTTTTTTTAATTTTAAATTTAATTTAATTTTTAACTAAAATTCATTTTCGTAATACCAAATTTACTTGTACATTGTTACAATAATTAGGTTCACTATACGACATTCCTAATTTTGTTGTTGTCAAGGGTTGTTTTGTGTTTCTTTATCTGATGCTATTACAATGGCATTGAGAGACCGGAGCGTTCCTCGGGATCTAACCACGTTCCCGTACTCGTGACAGTTTGGGGCGAAGGAACTTACCGATGACGAGGTCGTCGAGATGGTGCAGAAAAAACAACTGCCAGGGTGAGTGTTGTTTGACTTCTAATTTGTCATCGTAATTTTGTATTCCCTACAATTTTCGGGAACAAACTCCAATTCATTCAATGGAGTAGACCGTGTCAACGCTATGCGTGTTGGATTTCCACTTGTTAATGTGTAACAATGTATTTGCACTATCGCTGAGCGTTGTTGCATCCGTCTAATTTTCAGAAGAAATTGCAAATAATGATATCACCCGCTTATTTACGAATCGCCCTTATTAGGATATACTTATTTTTGGACCACATCATTAGTATATGATACTTATTTACGGAAATTGGATAAGGAAACATTAGTCATATTAAAAAAATTGACGAGAGCTGTCTGCTTCCAGATATAAACTCGAGACAGCACTGCAAGATGACCTGCGCGGGGTGAAGGTGCGACGCCAGGTGGTGGCTCCGCTAGCAGCCAACGTCGGGGCTTTCGACTCGTTACCATATCTTAATTACGACTACAGTAAGGTAAATTATTCACTCTCGTTCTTATGCAAGAATGTTTTGACCAGTGTTTTTGATGTTGGAACGAATGAACGTCGAATCTATGTGTCTAATATGCGTGCTGCACTAAATTCCATTGAACTAAAACTTCCACACGATTGGATAACTAATGTCGAGAAATTAAAATGATGTGTTATAATCGTAAATTCGTTTGGCCACAGGTGATGGGCGTGTGTTGCGAGAGCGTCGTGGGCTACATCCCAGTGCCTGTGGGCATCGCCGGCCCCTTGACCGTCAATGAACAGAGTTTGCTCATCCCGCTGGCCACGACTGAAGGCTGCCTGGTGGCGAGCACCAACAGAGGGTGCCGGGCTCTGCAGATGTCAGAAGAAGGCGGCGTTAAGAGCCACGTTCTGCAGAACGGCATGACTCGGGCGCCTGTGGTCATGCTGCCATCCTTGTCTAGAGCTGCGTGGGTGTCTTGATTACTACTTGTGATATTGGATTATATTATTTTAATATGTTGTATTATTGTATGATATTAAGATCAAGCTTTGTTATGTATATAATATATGTATATAACTATTAAATTATATGCTACTTCAACTAAATGATAGCTTAATTCTGCTTCTGCTTGTATGATTTCTTTCTGTGATATCAGCAGACTAATTATTTTTTTCTCTGAACGTTACTGATCACTGCTTGGTTACACTTCCATCAAAACTTTTTTGTTTGAACAAGCAAAGTTTCCAACGTAAATGCTATTCTTGTTCAATGTAATCATGATATAATCGGAGTTTTTTGGCATATTGTTTATTCAAGAAATTTGGTGTTACCGCATCGTATTTTTTTACAGTGAACTTTATCACTGGCTGCAGAAGAAAGAGCACCAGGCGCGCCTGAAAGAAGCCTTCGATCGCACGAGCAGCTACGCTCGCATGGAGGACATCAGCACGACGCTGAACGGCCGCAAGCTTCATCTGCGCTTCCTTGCATCCACTGGAGACGCCATGGGCATGAACATGGTCTCCAAGGTACAATGTCGCTCATTAAATCAAGTTTTTCCTTATAATTCTCTGGCATATTTTTAAAGAGACATTCGTGTATTAAAAGAGTGCTTTTTAAATGGTGTTATTGCCTCAATGCGGGTTTCGATTATGAAAAAAGCTTGAAGTCCATGTGTTTCATACCCATTAAATTTTTGGCGCAAAGAATACATGTCATATTTGTGTGCAGGGCGTGGAAGCTGCCCTGAAGTTACTACGGGAGTTATTCCCTGATGTCGAGGTACTCAGCATCAGCGGCAACCTCTGCACCGACAAGAAACCCTCGGCAGTCAATTGGTGAGCCTACGCCTGCAGTGTGATGTTCGCCGCTATGTGATCCCCTTTCAGATCAAGTCAGAGGCTATGATGGACGTATCATTAAGCAGTGGTACTGCTTAATGAAATATATGCATGGCGGCTGCTTAACTATGAATTATGTAATGTTATGTAATTACCACAATGTTAACCGCTTTCTTGCAAATTTATTCAACACAGTATTACCATTGGTCAAATGTGTGTATTTAGAGTTAATTTCTCAATTATTCCAGCGTGTTAAGTGTGTAATTAATTTTAAATTTAATTGATTTTTGGGAAATCCCTAGCGTATGAAAGGCGTCTAGTGCGTCTATTTGGGGCCGTACTATTAAAACTCGCTCAAGTAAACGAAGCAGACGATTTCTCATCTGAGATTGGTGGGTTTAGCTTGAAAAGCCCACAGTAATTGTCTGACGCAGTTACGATCTCGTAACTATCCTTGATCAATTACGAACTCGTAAGTATTCTCCGTTGTAGATGTCCACCTTGTCTGAAAAATTTGCTCCTACTTTCAGTTCATCACCTGCTCCGTAATCGCGAACAATAAACTATTCACACCCGTATTCTGATCCAGCTTCTCCTTGACCTCTGTGTACTTTCCCATATTATAATTCAGCATCATCCAACAATCTTAACAAGTTCGGCCCTTGGTGTTCAGGGTGCGTGGTCGCGGCAAGTACGTGGTGAGCGGTGCGGTGGTGCCAGGCAGCGTGGTACGCTCGGTGCTGAAGACGTCAGTTGAGGCGCTCGTGCAGACGCACGTTGCCAAGAACTTGGAGGGCTCCGCCTTGGCAGGCTCCATCGGCGGCAACAACGCCCACGCTGCCAACATCGTCGCTGCTATTTTCATTGCGTGTGGACAGGTTAGCGACATAATTCTTTAGATGTCAATTGATGTACAACGCGTGCCTTGTGTTTAATTAGGACAGTTCAACTACCAAAACTATCGAATTTTTCGCTTACTCGCGTCCTTTATTTTATTCAGCAGGGCATCCTCGTTGAAAAGATAATAATAGTAATTCTAATATGAGTAACAATTGCGATTTTTATACATTGTAATGAAATTAAGTCGTCAGCTCTGGAATTAATTTTCTTTCATTGTCATGCTAATATAATATGCTATTTTGTTGTGATAATTTGGTTTCTATTTCCATAGATTTCAGTCGTTCATACACCTCTCATTGCCTGCTAGTATTTTTATTTACGGCACATCTTTCAGTATATTCACTTGCTTCTGTGTTGCAGGATGCAGCGCAGGTTGTTGGCAGTAGCAACTGCATCACGCAACTGGAAGCTTGTGGTCCCAACGGCGAGGATCTCTTCGCCAGCGTAACGATGCCGTCGCTGGAGGTCGGAACTGTAGGGGGTGGCACGGCGCTGCCTGCACAGGCTGCTTGTCTTCACATGCTTGGTGTCAAGGGTATGGATTTCAGTGCTCCGTTGTCGAATCATATTTACACATGTTTAAGAATTACATTCGTTTATATAGGAAACTCTGCTCCTTTCATAAACGTACAACACATTAAACGTGCAATTCTTCCATGCTTCGGATATTTTATCCCTGAATTCAGTGGAAATTAGTTGGTTGGTTTCAATTTGTACATAACTTAGAAGAAGCTAGCATGAAAATTTCTAACCCCTTGTATATAGCGCAGTAATTGACGCAATAATTGGTAATATTAATTAGATACGTGACACACAGAGCAGTGTTCGAGTAACGGCTGTTTGTCAGAAACAATTGTGTGAAGCGTCTTCAAGTTACGCTTTAGAGAAAAACTTCATTAACTGTAAAAAGATAGAATTTACAAAAAAAGTTATTAGCTCTAAGTCTTCTTAGTCACGTGTCTATCGAAAATAACTACAATTACCAGGCCTGTTAGTGGAAATAGCGTTGACGACGGTTAATGTGTCCATGGAGAGATTATTATGTTGAGTTTTGACGCTGGGCAGGCTCACACCCTGACATGCCTGGCAACAACGCGGAGCAGTTGGCGCGAATCGTGTGCAGTGCTGTGTTGGCTGGAGAACTGTCCCTGATGGCTGCTCTAACTGCTGGCCACGTCGTCAAAAGTCACATGAAACACAATAGGGCCAAAACCATCGAAACTCGTGCCAGTTTACCTCCGAGTTCTGTCGAGGTGGAGGAAACCGCTGCAAGGCTTCCAGTAGATACTACTGTTGTACACCCGAATTCTATTGAGTTGGCGGAAACGGTTTCTTCGTCAACCAAGGATTCATTTGTAAATACCGAATTAACTAAATCAGCTGTTGAGGCACTTGATAGTAATTACCGTATTAGTACAGAAATTGCAAGTGAAGTGTCAGAAATTTCTATCGAATCTAAAAGCACTTCGGTTGGAAGACCCAACGTAACGTCTAGTCTCGATCTCAACAATGCAGCGGCCAGCCCCGAAAAATTCGACGAGATTAACGTAGAAGTAGTTCACATTGATCCAGAACAACAGGTTTTATGCTGCGATGTAAAAAATGATGGTAGAAATGTCGGCGTTTTCAACACCAAAAAATAATTTAGTCTTCCATGTAACAGTGCTTCCATCACTCAGATTACATGACAATAATATCACTTGCACATGACCATGTCTGTAGGTTTTAGAGATGAGCCTTGCTTAAATGCATAGATTAATGCAAATCCGTATCTTGGTTTTAATTCCTCCTTGTAAAAAAAATTACTGAATATACGAATAAAAATCGACAATTTGTTTCATTTCCATGCGTGTCCAGCATTTTTCATCTTCCTAACAGCTTTTTCTGTCAGCACATTTATCCAATTGTAAAAATATTTATGCATTTGCTTCAAGGCTGTAAATGATGTTGAAAAATCATATTGATACTAATGTATATGTTTTATTTTAAATATTTACACACAAGTGGGGGGCTATGTAGATCCTACCCAAGGATCCACTCTGTTCTTTCTCATTACGAAGTTGATCTTCCTAGCCATGTCCTCGTCGTAGATTGCCTTGGCTTTTTCGTAGTTGAGTCTACGACGAACCTGTAAAATCCAGTTTTTTTTACAAGAGCAGGAATTATTACTGTGGGTCATGCATGTGAGTAAGAAATCATTGAATGAGTTACAATCAATAAAATTATTCAAGATCGAAGTAAAGAACAAAAAAAAAAATTTTTTTTGAGCAAATACAGTCCACCTACAGACAATTTTATGCGCATTGATGGATAGGATTGCAATGAATCTTGCTAAGTAAGCATCTTCATTTGCTGAAGGCATCATAGTTGGATATACAAATATAAACATCACGGTTATAAAATGTTAGTATTTCTTTTGCCTTGCTGGGTACCTGACATAGGTACTATTGCTTTAGCTTTGTTACATGCAGGGCTTGCTTGTACTACGTTTACACAGATTTATTTATTTTAATACAATTACACAGATTTATTCATTATTTATTTTGTATGGTACAATTGATCCCTGAAACTTGTTCCTAGTAATTTTTGAATGTCAGCAAATTATATAATCCGAAATTTTATCACCATGAACTAGGCAGAGCATTGCACAAACCATCTATATATAGGTGATACTGGACTCACTCATTTGAAAACGAATCTCGTGGAATAAATTTCCATAGAGCAAGACAGATCACTCATATCAAAATGAACTGTTTCTATTACTCACCAAATAGGGTTTTTCATAACGGAGATTGAGGCGGTAACGTTTTAGCATGCCCTCTTCACTCATTATCCTGGAGAAAACAATATGAGAGGGGAATGAATCTAGCCCCGAAAATGAATTTAAGTAAAGCTATATTTATACATAGCGATACGTATATGAAGGCCTAACGTCAGTTGTAAGAAAAAAATATTTTCATCAACATTTGTAGTTTCAAGATACAATGAAATCAATAACCTTTGGCAGTTTCTTAATTAAAATGCATGCTTCTAATAAAGCTTCATTGATGTACAAAAATTATGCAATACGACTCCAGGCAAAAATTATCTAATCCATCTCATGGCCAAAACTTACTTGTTTCTCATCAAAATATAGTAAAGAATGCGAATGCAGTTTGATATCATTGTTTATCAACAATACCTTCAAACTTTGAGGCCCAAATGGCTTTCACACCGCAGAAACTTTAAATAAAGAGTACACACCAAAGCCTGGTCTGTGTAGATGCTTATCAGCAGAGAATTATTCTGCTCTCCTATTTAATAACATCCAACTGTTTCTAACCTTTGTTAAATATTTGTGGTCATTCTTCAGAGCTACAACTGCACTGCAATGTAAACATGATAAATTAGGTTCAATTGAATGTGTTGACAATAATTATGTAGTGAAAAATAATGTGCCCTGTTTCAACATAATCCCCAGCTCACCTGTTGATGAGTCTCATTGAAGATTCAACATCGTTATCCTTGACCATAACAGTTCTCCCAACAAACTTGGGGAAGCTGCGAAGACTGATGTGGTTCAAAGCAGGATATCTCAAACCTATAAATGCCATTTTGAATCTGAAAAATGTACAAACCATTTAAAGTAGTCTCAAAGAAGCATCAGGTGAATGATCGCCAGTTCTTGCCAAATGGCAATATACTACTACTCATACTTAAGTATCACCATGCTTAACAAATTAATAATTTATAATAGAATACTTATGTATAGTTTATAACATAAGTATCCTATGAGCTATTTTATTGCAACTGAATGCAAGCAGTGATTACAAAAGGTATAAATTCTGTTCTTTATAGTTATATATTTCATTGATAAAAATTGGTTTTGATAGGTTATAGATATAGTTCTTGAGGTTTATTGAAGAAGTGATTTTTCAGAATTAGTTTCTCCATTACATAAATAAAAAATGTAGTTTAGGTGGTCTCTCACTCTCTCCATTATACAAACAAACATTATAAACATCATTAATCTCACCTCCCTCATTCAGAATCACCTCCATCATAGACTGATGCTCTCTCTCTGTCTCTCATACGCCCCACATTCCATCAACAAGTTCTCCACAGGTTCCTTCTCATCCCCATCACATATAATGCATTTATCCTCCCTCCTTTCATTCCACCTGTACTGTCAAACAGGGTAATAAGGGATGGCGAGGTAAATCAGGACGCACGTCCCACATTTCGTAGAAATGTTGTAGCAGCTAAGCTAATCAAAATATTGCAAAACTAAAAATAGTGGCATAAACTTCAACACTTTTACTATCAAATTCAATTAGGGTAAACGCGGTATATTCCGACATCGTAGGTAATTCCGTCACCTCTCCGGCTTTTCCTTTATATTAAGCTTTGTTTTAGTTCCATGCGTTCATTGATGGTTGAAATGGTGACGTCATACATTTGCGTGTCGAAATACTGCAAAAACACTAGGTCTTGGCCATCTAGTGGGAAAATATTGAGATCCAAAGAGAGACAATGCATGCCACGTGGTGAGATCATCGAAAAATGTGTCAAATTTGACAGTTGACATGGCTCTACCAAATAGTGAATAACTGTTTTTATAGGAAGAATATTATGGTTTGAGACTTTTAAATACGTCTGTGAATATATTAGGAATCGTTTAAGTATACTTGTATTCGCTGATTTCAAGTCGTAAATAAATTAATAGATGATTAAGTTGAGATGTTGCATTTAGACACATGAAAACTAATTCCAACACAACTTGAATTGAACACACACAGATCGTTCAAAGCTTTGTACAAAAATTGAAATTTGCTTAATTAAAAGCCTAATAGCTGTTAATTAAAACGTAATTAAGTAGTGTTCAATATTCGTTAGTGTTCTAATTCAAAGCCGTGTTGTATCCCAATACAGCTCACACAGCAAACGGAATTCAAACACGTGGATGTCGGCAATACGTATCAGTTATATTTGAAGCGCTGACGCAATAGTCCTACGACTCACCACGTGGCAAATATTGCCACACAAAGTGACGGAATATAGGGATTTGGTAGGTTTCCATTCTAAAGGCTTTTTAATAAATATGGCAAGTTGGCAACATTTTGTGACGTTTCATTGTTGCTGACGCGTAGTGAAGTGTTTTGAGAGTCATGTGAAGGCAACAGAACTTACGTAACGCATACGTTTTTTTATAGTTTTTTATTTTTTGATGCGTCCTTAATGTGTCGGAATATACCGCGTTTACCCTATGTGTAAAGCTAGTTAAGAAATCATACATTAACTATCTCTAAAAAATTGCTGAGAAAATTGTGAAAAGTGCAAATTTGGAAAAGTACCTCTACGGTACTAAGGTCTGGAGGAAGAAAAATTATTTGCTGTATTAAAAAAATGTACTCACATAAAAGTTGCACACAGTGACTGAGTGACACAGGTGTTGGCTTGAAAACATGATTGGCGTAATTTGCCTATCTCATTCCAAAGAAAATGGCAGCCATTTCTGTGCAATGGGGTAATAAGGGACACCCCCCAGGCCCAGGGTAATAAGGATTAAGGGACACCCCTAAAAACGGATTTACAGTTTAACCTTAGTTAGCAAAGGCTCCAGTTAACAAAAAAATTGATTAACAACAAAGAATTTTGATTACATTTACCTTGCTCAGCAAAAAAAGTCACTTATAAAAAATTAATGCATCGTCAGTCACCACAAAATTGTGCACAAAGTCAAAATGTTATATATAGAATTGTGCACTGCAGCACTGGGTATCATAGTAGAATGAAAAGGGTATTATTGCAGATTAACTACATCCAAAAAAAAGGGTAAATGGATTTCAGATTCGTAATCTACACCCCAAAAAACATATAATTAAAAAAAAAACACCCTTTTTTTTGGATGTAGTTAATCTGCAATAATACCATGAAAAGTAATTAAGTTAACCTAAAGTCCTAAACTATGATTTATTCCTCCAAAACATATGATGGTTGTTACTAAAACATTCCTTTCTGTTTCAGGTCCTCCCGTAACTTACCGCTACCAATAACCTGCCAAAGTTATAACCTACATAGTAACAACACTGGCAACCAACCTGCCAAATACGAAATAGGTACCTACAATAACCTACCTAGTCTACGCCTCTCTACGGCTGCGCACCCCGGTGGACGACGTCAGCGGACGTCTGAGTTGCCCATCCTTTGGTGCGGAATTAAGATTCTGAGTCACCATCAAAATGAGGGCACCATCACAAGCGGGCAAAAAGTGCTCTTTTCTTTACATGAATTTAGAACACATTTTAAAAATTAGTATAGCACATCCAGTGAGAGTTATACGTGTACGTTTGTATTGTATGTGGCGAATAGTTGATTGATTGGCGAATAGTTGACGAATAATTGATCGATTGCGACGAATAATTGATCGTTTGCAATTGACACGAGCTTGACATCGCCGTTAGGCCATAATGAACATGTGTACCAAGTTTCATCGAGCTACGTTCAGTACTTTGGGTGATATTTCAGGTATAGAGTCCGGCCGCGAGACCGGCCGCAAGTACGGCCGTAAATTTGTCCGAGACGTGCGAATAACTAATCATGTGCACGGCGCGAATAAATGATCACTCACACGTGGCGAATAATTGATTGTATGTGTATGGCGAATAATTAATCGTGTGCATGTGGCGAATAGGTGATCGCTCACACAAGGCGAATAAGTGATCGCTTGCCGGTGGCGAATAACTAATCGTATGTGTTAGGCGAATAATTGATCGTGTGCATGTGGCGAATAAGGATCGGTTGTATGTGGCGAACAAGTGATCGATCGCATGTGGCGAATAACTGATCGTTTTCTTGTAACGAAAAAAATGACCTGTATAATAATAATAGCGGTTTCGGCGTTTATTAGGCCGTAGGCCTGTCGCCGATTCTTAACATTGCAGAACATTTACATCATTTTGCGGTCTCGAACTCGCATCTCACTGATACAATTCTGCTCGCATCTCACTGCTACAATTCCGCCCGGCCTCCTTGCCGATTCTGACCAGAAACTGGCGCACAGAGCTGGGATCGAACTCGCGCCTCTCTGCTCCAATCTTGGTACTCTGAACTTTAACCACTGGGCCACCCTGCCCTGGGCCACCCACATTGATTGATCTAGCCTGCTTGTGACTGATCGTTTGCATCTGGTGAATGTCGTATGTATGTCGTGTATTAACTCGGTAATACTTTAGATTATGTGCATCCAAAAAAAGGTGTTTTTTAATTATATGTTTTTTGGGGGTGTAGATTAAGAATATTAAATCCGTTTTTGGCGGTCGGCATCGGAAATTTTTAATGGAACCTGTTCCTAACTGGACCTAACCTGCGAGGTTTTCGTTGATTGGCTAAGTTTTTCCAGCCGCCGGACGGCCTCCAAACATAGAAAAAACCTAGCCGATCAACGAAAACCTCGCAGGTTAGGTCCAGTTAGGAAAAGATTCCATTAAAAATTTCCGATGCCGACCGCCAAAAACGGATTTCAGATTCTTAATCTACACCCCAAAAAACATATAATTAAAAAACCACCCTTTTTTGGATGCACTTAATCTAAAGTGATACCATTAGCTCCACTAAATTTGTTTATAGTGACCTAATCTAAATGCGGTGGACGACGTCTGAGTTGCCCATCCTTTGGTGCGGAATTAAGATTCTGAGTCATCATCAAAATGTGGGCACCATCACATGAGGACAAAAGTGCTCTCTTCTTTACATGAATATAGACCACATTTTAATAATTAGTATAGCACATCCAATGAGAGTTACACGTGTACATTGGTATGTGGCGAATAGTTGACGAATAATTGATAGATTGCGGCGAATAATCGATCGTATGTGTATGGCGAAAAATTAATCGTGTGCATGTGGTGAATGGCTGATCGCTCACACATGGCGAATAAGTGATCGCTTGTCCGTGGCGAATAATTAATCGTATGTGATGGCGAATAATAATTCGCGTGCATATGGCGAATAAGTGATCGTTTTCTTGTGAAGAAAAAAAAAAGACCTGTATGATTGATATAGCCTGCATGTGACTGATCGTTTGCAACTGGTGAATGTCGTATGTATGTCGTGTATGTGAGGCTCCGCTAATTTTGTTTATAGAGACCCAATCTACATGCGGTGGACGACTTCAGAGTTGCCCATCCTTTGGTGCGGAATTAAGATTCGAAGTCACCATCAAAATGAGGGCACCATCACATGAGGGCAAAATGTACTCTTTTCTTTACATGAATTTAGAACACATTTTAAAAGTCAGTATAGCACATCCAATCATTTTAATCAACGTGGAAGTTATTTAGCCCTCTTTCCGATAAACATATTTAACTTATTCTCGTAATTGCAAGTGAATAAATATATGCGATAATTCCACCAATGTAAAACATTTTGAACTCGGCACAACATTCATAAAAAATGTCGGGTCAAAAGGAGGGATAAAGAGGCAGAGGAGGACTAAAACGCTCTGTACCTGCTGTCTTGAGGAGACAAAGCGCCAGGGTGCATACAAAGAGCAGTGAGTGAATGCAGCCACCCAGCACTGCAGCACCAGAGCCCCTTAGAGGAACGAGTGTGAGAAAGGTTCACAATGCACACAAAGATCGCTCCGCTCAATAAAGGAGGCTGGGAGGGAGGCCAAATAGGATCTTAACCCTTTGCTTTTAAAAGGATGTTAACGAAATTCAAATAATCCCTCGCTGATGCTAACATAATTTATATAAATATAAAAATAAAAAATATAACTTCTATATGCATCTGAAAATCAATTCCTGGATAAATTTAAGGTTGAAAAATATTAGAAGGTATAATATTGCTGGCGAATGATTATGTTCAAATTTGTCTTTATATTTAATCTGTTAGCGAGCCTTACATAATCGACACGTTTTCTTTTCAAAACCGGCGTTTGAAAAGGAACAACTGAACCAATGCAGCTCAACGGTTCAACGACATAACCTCGCAACCATAGATGCACAGCTTCCATTCACCTTTTGTCTGAATTTTAGCCGAAAAGAAAAAAAATGAATTTCGTTTCTTAGAATGAATGCTGATATTTTTTCAGAGCCTTTGCAATGTCAACGTGCACGGCTGATGCACACTGAAGTTTCGCCGTAGATAGAAGTACTAATATGTTTTACAGTTTGATGCTATTTAAGTATCTTTTGGAAAACAAATTTACGCTCAAGTATTATAATTCTGAAACATCCGTACGCTTCTTTGCTTTGAACATAAGGTTGAAATGGAGGAAAATCCTGAACTTTTTATTTAATTTTAAAAATGCTGAAGAAATTGTGTAGATGTGAAATTGTAGTATTATTCCATTGTTGAAATAGGCTTATGTTTCACTGACAATTCTTGTATCCCTGATATTCGGGATAAACTGAAATAAAAAATGAGTAAAGTGAGTCCGTCGTCTATGCACAACTCATTTTCCAAAGAGAATAGATAATATTCGAGTCTCAGTAAGTCTCACCTCTACCAGACTACAATGAGTTTTAGTGCTCATTTGACAAGCGATTAATCACAATTCATTGCTTACTCAGGAATATTGTGGCCAATATTAATACACATGTAAACATATAACATAAAAGGCTCTAAACAAATGACGTGAAAAAAGACGACTGGACATCGTAAAGTTGTGTTGCCTGAATTATTATTGGTATTATCTCTGAGCTGCAGGCCGTTCCTGAGCTGCAGGCCGCCCCTGAGCTGCAGGTCGTCCCTGAGCTGAAGGCCGTCCCTGAGCTGCAGGTTGTCCCTGAGCTGCAGGCCGTCCCTGAGCTGCAGGCCGTCCCTGAGCTGCAGGTCGTCCCTGAGCTGAAGGCCGTCCCTGAGCTGCAGGTTGTCCCTGAGCTGCAGGCCGTCCCTGAGCTGTAGGCCGTCCCTGAGCTGCAGGTCGCAGGCCACAGTGCAACAAAGCAGCGACGAAGTTCGTTGGTGCAAAGGGTCTCGCAGAGTAACAAAGCTACGGCCGTTTGTATAGCTCCCACCGCAACCCACCTCCCACTTCCCTCCGCAGCTGCAGCATGAACGTGCGTGAGTGCATGTGGGATGTGGGTCAATGCGGTCACACGTACCACATCCCCAGCACCACACTGCAGCCTGAGCAAATGATACTTATCGACATCCTGAACGTCAGTGAGAACGCTTGGGGCTATTGTACCCTCGGTTGTGCTTTAAAAAACAGCAACAGGCACTTATATTTTCGAAACATAATTTTTTCGCGAGGGGGAGTGCCTGATATGACGTCGCAGTTTGTTACAATAATTTCAAGCAATCATATCAAAGAAGGAAAAGTTAAATTGATGAATTTATTGCGCTTTTTGAAAGCTAATTCAGAATAATCGGTAAATGGCACTGCGTGTTGGAGATGATTGTTGTAAACGAGTCACGCACTTCACTTCACATTGTGCCCTAGATCTTGCAGTAGAAAGGGAAATTTACCGCATTTTGATATGGGCACTATGCAGAGCTGGGCAGCGCTACTTTGAAATATAGCGGCGCTACCGCTACCGCTACATGCTCTAAATGTAGCGGGCGCTACCGCTACCGCTACACCCACTAGATTGTAGCGAGCGCTACCGCTACCGCTACAGTAAAATATAGCGCCGTTACATTAGCCACTACAATGACCAAAATTATTGGAAATCTCCAAAGATTTATTTTTCTGCTAATGGGATTTACTCATAAACATTTAATGATAATAAAACATTTTCAAAACATATCAATGCAACTTTATTGCAATTAACCTAACCGAACTAGTACGGATTAGATACAGTAAATAAAAGTTAGTTATTTTTATGTTTTACCTTCCCTACATGGATGTCTACTTTAATCTACCAATCTCAAATATTATCCGCATATACAGATAAAAAGTCAGTCTTATACTTGTATATACTGTATATGTGGATTGTTTTTGAGATTGGTAGATTAAAGTAGACATCCATGTAGGGAAGGTGAAACATAAAAATAACTGTAAAAATAACTGTAAGCAAACTGAAACATGAAAAAATACCTGTAAGTGGTAACTGGTAACAACTTAACAAGTAACAACTAACATGTTGACTCTAGT